GAGGAGAGAGAAAATATATAATTCTCGGAATCAACTCGTCGAAAAGAAGGGCCTTCTTAAGGGGGGGGGAGAGGTTACCATAAGGGGCTGGCTGGCTGCCGTGACGTGAGAGACGGGCCTTTGAGAGGGAGGGGGAGAAGATAAAATACTTGTTGTGTAGGGGTTGACTGACAGCCGCATCTCGTGTCCATAGAAGGTGCAGTATCGACTACTCTCCCTCAGAGGCAAGTTAAGAAAAAAAAAAAAAAGGGAATGAGAAAGATTCGCATCAGAGGATTAACAGTCGTAACGTCATAACAGGGTATTAGATTGCTTCGGCCTAGACTGACCCTTCGTATCCACATGATCTTCGTAGGCCACCTTCTCTCTATTTAGCCAACCAGCCTTCGTCGGCATAAGAAAAAGATGCAGCAGTGAAACTCCATATCCACCCATCCCGAGTTCTACCTAACGTGTCCCTGTCGTTTGTACAAGCAATATCATTCGCGTTTTCGTTTTTCGGAGCCGTGTTCGTAATGTAGTAGTATAGTGTACAATGATAAATGTCGTTTCTCTTCCACACTCACCGTGTGTTCATGTGCCGGACTCGAACCGTCTCACTCACTCCTATGCGTATCCGATGATCTCGCGGTCGTCGTCTACTAACCTACCGTATCTACTCGTTCGTCAGCACTGTCGTCTCAATGGGGAAGGAAAAGCGGCATACTCTAGAAGCAATCGGAAGAAGTAAACCTCCAGATCTTCATTCCTCACCACCTTGTTCGCCCAATCCCTCCCCTGAAGCGCAATACGCTCCGCTTCCTTCTTTCCCGACGACTCACCCGCAAACCACCGCACAGCCTCAAGCCACTCATCGCCCCTCAAACTCAGCGGGATGTAATGGACCCACGGCTTCAGCCACTCGTCGTGCCACTCTCGGAAAACCGCCAGCTTGTACACTAAGCTCTTACTCTTCAGAAAGGCGTAGAAGCGGCCGCTGAAGGCATTACCATCGACATCAAGCAAGTACTTGTATCTCCAAGCCGCAGACTGCTCGGCGGGCTCCTTGATCTCGAAGAAGTCCTTCTGGGCGTCACAGTCGCGAGGATCGCATTGCCCAATGTGGGAGAAGTGGATGTCGAAGAGCTCCTTGTAGTCGCTGCGGGGCACTTGCTTGACCTGCCAGTCTTCGGCTTCTCCCTCGCCACGATTGGCCAGGATCTTAGCATGGTCCCCTGCGTTGATTTTCCGGACCAGGTGTTGGCGGTGCTGTCGTCTCCATCCACCGTCACGACTGAATCCTCCTGTGGTGGAGCCACGCCAGTACATCTTGTTTTCCTTTTCTGCCCAATCGAAATCTGCTGTCTCGTTGTAAGTCACCTTGCCATCCCAGTACCAAGGTGATGGGTATGTGATATCTGAGTATGACGATAGCTTTGACGCCGAGAAGACGGGAAATAGGTCTGTGACGAGATTGAAGGCATTCGGTCGGTCGAAAAATCCATAGCTTTGGCTGAAGGATGGGGATTGGCAAATGTCTGAAAAGGCCGTAGTATTGTAGACAAAGCCCATTTCGCCCAGGGCATAGCTCTGAATGTTATCCTCCGCAATTCCATCCTCTAGAGATCTTGCTGGACTGTCTGGCGGACACGACATCTTCGAATGTGTCCATGTTGCCTGTTGGGAAAAAACGTTGAACCGAGTAGTCTTTACATCCTCGAACCGCAACCCATCACTCAGATCCGGCGGCGCTTTCGAAAACTCATTCCTAGGTTTCGCCACTGCGTCGGCTGCTGGCATCTTGACATCCCTCGCCTCGTGTACCAGCCGTGATAGATCGCCGTCTTGTACCATGACTCGGGGCTCATCATGGAGGTTGAAGGCCAGATCCATATCCGGCAGATGTTTCAAGAAGCTCTGCAGCATTCCTCTCAATGCATCCATGTGCCACTTCACGCCTCCATCCAACTTCTTGATCTCGCCCTTCCTGATCAATACCCCAACCAAATTGTTCGCATCGTACCCCAGTGATTCTTGCGCCCGAGCCCGAATTGTCTTGGGCTTCAGCCCCCAGAAAGGAGTCAGTGAGTGGTATATAGAATCGTACTCATCGATCAATTGCACGTTCCGCGACTTTGCAAATTCGTACCACTTGTCGAAGTTGGGCGGAGGAGGGATGCCATATCGCCGCCGGTATTCCTTCACTGCTTGCCCGAGTGTTTCCGACTGTCGACTGGTGATCTTCGCGAATTCGCTCTCGGCCTTCTTCACCAGCTGCCATATGGGGTGCCCAGTTCCCAGCTTCGGTAGCTCTACTTTCGCGGGCGCAAAATACGAGGACTCTTTTGCTGGGGCATTTGACGCTTCTTTCTGTGGTGCCGGACTCGTAGATATGAATTCGGCGCCTGGATTCATAGTAGGCGTACGAAGGTAGAAAAATGTGCAGCCTGCGCAGATCATAAGGGCGAGGAAGCCCAGGAATTGTCTCGAGCGCATCCTTCTTTTCGTTCTCAGGCAGATGGTGGTGACGGAGGGGAGTTTCGACTCTTCATCGTCTTCCAGATAGGAGTTGCTGCTGCGTTTGCGGCGGACTCGCTGCGGTGAGGGTAAGTGGAGCGTCGAAGACGACCGCTGGCGCGCACTCCCACCCATGGTGATTGATGGGGATCGCATGCCCGCAAAATGTTGTTTTGATAGGTAGGTAGGTAGCGTTAGCCGCCGATCTTCAAGCCTGGTACCGTTTACTGACAGTGCCACATGTCAAGCCCTTAGGGTTATCTGTGGCTATTCGTACTTCTCGGGTAGTTGCATGAAAATTGGTAGTGCTTTTATACAGCACAGAGCTGAAGCCACAACGATGTTGATGTTTTAAGGTTCGTCCGATTATCGCTACGAAGCTTTATATTTTTGCCAATGCCCAGGATCTGCTGCCAACAAGCCTTCGAGCGCTGCCCTGCCACTCAAAAGTCAATATTAAAAGCTTCTTTCTACACAAGTATATTTATTATATTATTTACACGCCAAGCAATGGCTGCTATCGTCTAAAATCTTCGATTTTCTGCTAAGATAACCATTGGTACTCTTCTTTTTCTTCTTCTTCTTCTTCTTCTTCTTCTTCTTCTGTTAGTCGAGCTCTCTTCTCCTGCTCGCGTATGACAACTCGCAAGGTCAAGCAAGGATGTGTGTAGTCAAAGTCAAAAAAAGGCGAGAGTCCGGAAGCCGGCGTAGTATTAAGCTTCTGTCGACAAAGCTTTCCGCTTTCCGCAGCTACTGTATTCTGTACAGTAAAGCAGACATCAAGACGCAGCTTCCAGGCATCAATACTACCCCACGATGTGGTCCTTACTTTTCAAGTAAACTTGACCTTGTAACTTCTCTCGCTTAAGGAAAATCAACAGAGCCAGCTTGAGCCTAGTGGTAACTACACAATGCATGGACCTTTGCTTTGGAGAAGGCCTAAGGAACCTAAGAAGAGAGCGATCTCAAACACGGGAGGAACGGGGAAGTAAGTCACGTCGACCTGTACTTACAGCATCCTGTTCAGCACACAAGCTCTCGATCTCGTCGACACCTTTCAATCAACAATACAGCTCCGAGTTATCTCATGCTTCCACCACGAGCTACCTCGTCAAACCTACTTATCCAAAGCATATCTTGCGGCTCAGGTGACCACTGACAAGAATCCGCAGCTACAATTATAGACATGTAACTAGCTGCTGTTTCTTGCGGAGATGTGCTACATTTCAAATTCCACAGTCTCTAATGAATACTCACATCATCCTAACCGCACTTTTCCTTCCACTTTCTCTGTAGATTTCGATTATATTCAAGAACGCATCAACACACACACACACACACACGTATATAAATAAACATATGTGCACAGGCATTTTATGTTCGTTGTTACTAGCTTGTTATCCATCTACTTGTGCTTCCTTCCTGTTTCTGAGCCGGCTTTAAAACGGCTTATCAGTGGCGCTGTTCGATTTTACTCTTCAAATTTCGTTCAAGGAGAAAGATGAATCGAAGAGAGACGGGGAGGGTTACGCAGGTGCCTCGTTGTCTTGGCTATATTTCTTGTAGTGACCTATTTGAGAAGCTAGTGGCCGAATAGCGTGGACTTACCCAGAAAAAAGCACCGCTGGGATTTGAAAACCAACGATTGTGATTAGTTTTGAAGACTCTTCCGAATCTAAAACATTGTAAAGCTCAACGCGAAAAAGACCACTGGCTCCCTGCATCCCTCCGTGCCCTCCATCACTTCTTCCCCGTCCGAACTTATCGAGAAACGCATCCTAATTATTCAACACGAAATTTTCAACTTGCTTACAACGATTTGATTTTCATTGCATTCGATTCTTAAGATACGGTTTCCTTAGGAATCCGCTGGAACCAGATCAATAGCTCGTTGCGCTCGCCGCACAGCTCGAGAAATGGTTCCCGTCACTTTATCTCGGTCCTCCGCGGACAACAACAATACTAACAACGCCGATTATACACGGCCTTAAGACGCTGCATCGCCGTCCAACTTTACTTAGCACTCCAAGAAGAGAAGAAGGAACGCTGCTATCAATTTGCAGCCCTCTCCTTTCGTATTAAGACGAGGAGCACCGACTATTAACACGGCGACGAAGGCCATCGAGAGCTACTTCGACGACATCGACCGCGCGGCTGCTATCAAACGACGTGTCTAGCAGCAATACGCTTCCGCTTCGGACTGGATTATAGACGACCAACTTGACCTCGAATCTCGACACTATGCGCAAGAGTTCTTTAAGAGTCTCTTCACGTTTATGCGTACTCATTCACACGCAACCACCGGGGCAACTATTCCTTCCTTTCCTTCGACCGCTCTTCATAGCAGCGAGCAAACGGCCCTTTCTAAGTCTGTCTTATAGGCAGATTCCGCGGGGCCCTCGAAGACCTTGAAAAACTCAAGGGCTGCCGCTTAGTCGGCAATCGCTAAGCTGTCCCGATCCTCTTCCGTTATAAGAATAAGACCTGCAAAGACCCGCAAGCCTACGAGCTCTTAGGCTATTCGCAAGTCCTCTAGCGAACAACTTAAGACACGCTAAGACAAGCGAGTCTTGATTCAAGTACCTTCCGCCGCACTCTTAGCTCGTCTCGACAGCTACGCCGCCCGCAAGGCTATTGCCGACAAACTAGACGGCGTCGACATAACCACTATCCTTCGTCTTAAAGCTACTCGCACGGGTTGGGCACTCACCCCGATCAACCTCAAAGCGAAAGACCTTTTCATCATAGATGAAGCTAAAAAAGTGTACTAAGAGGTTCTTGAGGCCACGGGAGCGACTATCCCGGTCAAATGGTACACGTACGCTGTCTAGAGGGTCCTTGCCGAAATCAAGGGCCTCTTCGGCGAGATTTTCAAGACGGCGGAGCATATCGACGAAGAGATCTTGGCCTAGGCCGAGAGAGCCTCGGTGAGCGTCCGCATCTCCTAACACGGAGCCGACCCGGCGACCGGCTTGACCTGCTAGATGGTCTCCTTCTTAGAAGAGGTCCGCAGCTTTAAGCTGTTCGGCTGTAGTAGCTACTCCCGGCTGGTCGACAAAAAGCAACCTATTAAGAGGCACGACCTTGGCTGCCTCGGCTGGTATAACCCGGCCAGGTGCACTCGGCACGCACGCTGCTCCTATTGCGGCGAGCGAAGAGACCAGCACGACGGGCCCGACGGCAAAGACTGCACGGCACCCCTTCGCTGTGCAAACTGCTACGGCCCGTACGAGGCCAGTCACAAGAACTGCCTTGCGGCTCTTAAGCGAGTCAACGGCAAGGTGATCACTCTCACTAAGAAGGAGCTAGGCGCCGTCCGACGACTAAGAGCCTAGGCCTACGCTATTGCCACTGCTCTTGTGACGGAGGAGAACGAACCGACCTCGGCTTCTTAACCAGAGACTCTTGCTACCGGTGTCAACGCGGCTCCCCTTCGAAAAAGACGCGCCCTTGCGGTGCAAGAGCACGAGCGAGCGACCTCCTTCCAAGCCGTCTTTTCACAATCCTTTTCTCAGTCCTTTACGCAAGCTACGAAACCTCTGCGTAGTACGGCTACGCGCAAGAACCTTAACGAAAAGACTCTAATAGATAGCGCCTTCTCTGCTATAGACGAAGGAAGGGACACGCTAATAGCGACATCGGACTATCACGTGGACAACACTACTAGCTCATCTTCTTCGTTTATAAGAGGCTCGAGCATTGCTGCTAGCTAAGATGCTTAAAACAACTTTACATATTAAGCACGCCGACACGGCACCGCGGCACTCGCCGCAATCGACAGCCCCTTAAAGAAATCCAAGTCTGTTAAGCGAACGTAAGCAAAGGGCAGCTACACCACATTGCCTTATTCCACCTTTGCTATTCGGCAAACATTGACGTTATCTGTGTCTAAGAGCCGTACACGCACTCGAGCACCAAAACCTAGAACTACCCGTCTTACGAATGCTATGCTTCGATAGAATTGTAAGATAATCAAGACGATGCTTAGTACTTCGCTAAGCGACTACAAGTGATGACTTACGTGCGCAAGGGCGTAAGTCTTCGCACTTAGCAACGCCGTTCTATTCGCAATAAGGATCTCTTGTAGGTCGATATGAACGGCTTCGCTACTTTGAACGTCTATCGGCAACCCTTGATGGACCCGATTATAGACTATATCACCCACCTCGTCCCTCCTTCTAAGTGCTTGATTGGAAAGGACTTTAATATGTGGCACGATATGTTCGAACCAAGGGTTGAGCCCAAGGGCCGAAGAGGAGACCTTGCGGCTTGGTCCAATGCTAGTAAGATGGACTATATTGGACTCCCGGGCGACCCTACTCACAAAGCTAGTTACGTTTTAGACTTGACCTTTTTAAATATCCCGTTTGCTTAAACGACAATTCGCTCCGATCTCTATTCGGGCTTAGACTACGAGACCTAAGTCACGACTATCCTTAGCCGAG